GAATGTAAGCTTAATCTTCTCTCAAGGCTTTTGTAAGGGTAAATATCCTCTTCCGGATGTGGTTGAACTTGAAACCTTAAAGCCGACCCATCTTTCAAACCCTTAAAGAAGTCTGTATATGCAACTTCATCAGACAGCTTTGGAATCTGAATTTTCTCCAGGTTGAACCGTTTGACATAGGATCTCAGCCCCTCTCTATCTCCTTGAACTAACGCACCCAAGTCCATGCTTGTTTTCTTGGCCGGTTTGTTCATGGAGAAGTTAGAGGCGAATAAGAACGCCAAAATTCTGAAATTGTTGATGCATCCAGCAGGCAAGTTGTCGAACCACTGCTGGGCTATGCCCTTCAGTGTTGTCGGGAAGCATCTACACCATGCAGCATCATCCTAAATACATCAGGTTAGTATATGTCATTAGGTGATCCTCTAGGTTGGTTGTGCCATCATAGGCACCAACCAAAACATTTTTAACCTTAAATGGCTAAGCCGCCTCGGTTATCTCCTTGGAGAACGCATAAGGCTATATTCCAAGTTTTAGCAATCGGAGCTGCAAGTCCAAAAGCTGGACCTGTTGTGCCGCTTGACCTCCAAAGAAGCCAGGTTGCTGGAATGTAGCCCCAAATAGGTCGTATGTCTGCTGAGGGACATACGGTGCCAGTTGTATGATATGCAGGCCAGTGTGGATGGATTGACCGCCTAACATATTAACTTGTCTGGTATGGGAATACTTCAGTGAAGCATTCCGGAATGTGTCGTCTGGCATGGACGACGTTGATGTCGTATCAGACAATTGCTGCAATTTTTTGCGCTCATTAAGTTCCCGAGCGTCTTTGTAAACTTTCTTATTGTCATCCGACTCCTCATGTTGGATGGGATTCCTTTTAGGTGTCTGCGGGAGACAATGGTTTGCCTAGTCAATTGTTGGTTGACCCTACTCGGATAGAGACGACTTTTTGGCCGACTGACTCTTGCTTGGCCCAACATTCTAATGAGTGTTGGCTTTCATCATACTCTTGATTTCGCCTTTGAATTTCATCATGAACTCCATGAATTCCGACCGCATAATGTGAACGGGAGGAGTCGGCCCTTCCTGAAGTACGGGACTCCATTAGGGTTCCTTTCTTTCTCATCCTTTGACCGGATGCGCCTTACTTTAAGGGAGTCATCAAATGGGTCTATATTGGCCTCTGCCTCTACCTCCGTCTCAGTATCTGTATCGAATTCAATATTGAATTCTACCTTATTCGGGCACTTCATGTGGTACATGATCTTTAGAAGCCATCTTAAAGGTACTATCCCCACAGACGGGGCCAAATATTTTGGGGTTTTTTTGCAATGTCCTCCCGGAGAGTTACAACCGGATGCTCTGTACTTGAAACAAACGGAAGCTCCGATTTTTTGGAGTTGCGCCTCCGACGGTCAAGTTAGTGCCGAAATGAAGAAGTAGGCGGAGATTAAAAGTAGAAAGTAGTTTTCTCGATTTTCGAGATAAGTGCAATGAATGCTGTAATAATTGATGAATAGTGAATCCTTACTCCCACTGTCATAAATGTGCAATATTTATAGGAGTGTAGGAGTGCGTGCCCATTAGGCCATTTTAACCTAAGTAAATGGACTGCGTCGTTTTTACTGCTCCTCAAGATTTAGGCCTAAATGCCGACATTTCCTCAATGATGATGGATGCCACGTGTCATGCCCTGGTTGGCTCATTTTGAGCACTAGCTATGGTGACACGTGTCTAAGGTATTTTTACCCTAAAAAACTACAATTTTTGTTTTTTGGTTTTATCTTCTCCTTTTGAAAATTTATGATGGTATAGTGTATAATTGCATAGGAAAAAAGATGGAAAGCAAAGGTGAAAACACAAATGACAATACCAAATCTTCTTCCAAACCATCGACAACCGCAAGTTGTTCCCAAAATACAGTAGATAATGCAGAAGATAGTGCTGAAGGAACGAATAGAAGAGAGCTAAGAGCAAACTAATTTGGAGGATCCTTCTATTTTACCCCGAACTAGTAGACATACATTATATCAAAAGCTGAGATACTTTTACAAGCAAATGAGTGGGGGATGTAATAAAAGCATAGTGCAACTATTGTTTTAAGAAACTTTTTGGAGGATCGAGAGCGGGAACAAGTCATTTGACAGATCATGCACTACAAAATTAAGTCAATATAGCCACAACTGAAATTTGTTGCCATTCACCAAAAATCCGTTGCCAACTCTAGTTAGCAACGGGTTGGAAATGAAAAGTTGTTGTTGTTAAAAGGCTTGTTGCCATGGGATTTTGGCTATCAGTTGCAAAACAATTTTGTAGCAATATTGCATTCATTTACTTATAGTATCCATGATGGTTGATGTACTTGGTGCACGCGTTGCCAACTTTGGCAACATATTACCATTGGTTGTTGCTAAAAGTGGCAACAAATTATTGATGTAAAATTTATATCTAACACGGCTCGGCATGTAAGACTATTTGAATCCCCAGTCTCAAGAATCACAATTGGTAGGAGTCGAACCTGTGACCTCAAAGTCACGTGGTGAAACTCTTACCAACTATACCAAGTACTATTTGTTTACTTCTACGCACATAATTAATAATAAGTGAAAGAAATATTAGAGATGGAATTGAACTTAAAGACAAAATTAAAAATCCATCTCTAAATTACATAATTTACAAAATTCATCTCTAAATTACGGAGTACATAATTCGTCTCTAAAACAATTTAGAGACTGAATTAAAAATATGTCTCCAAATTAGGGACAGAATTAAAAATATGTCTCTGAATTAGTGACGGAGTTATCAGTCTCTAGTTTAGAACATTTGAAACCCGCACTGCCGAATTGCTATCCCTATATGTGTTAATAAAATAAGAAATTATAATCATCACCCGCTAAACATCCGATCCACCCGTTTCACTCCCGGATGACGGATGGATTGGATGCGGGTGATGGGTTTTGCGGGTGGCGGGTTGATTGGGTGAAGCGGATAGAGTGAGCGGATGGATGCGGATGAAGCTCCATCCGATTCGTTGCCATTCTTAAACGACATTATCTACGCTTCTGAAAAACAATTCCTCTCTCCAAATTCATCTTTGATTTTGTGGAGTATGTGAAAAGAACGAAACTCTGTTATTTTCAAGAACTAGCTTAAATCCTATGCCGCGCATGATTTTTACAAATTATGTAATGGAAAATGTTAATTCAATCATACGCAACTTTAACTTGCCAAAAGAAAAAAAAAACTTCAATTTAAATAATTAATTTGTACTCATACCAAAAACATTAATTTGTTAATGCATTAGACTTTATTAAAAAAATAACAAAAGAGATCTAGATATTATGCGGTTAATACCTGTATAATAAACTTATATACCTTTTGTCCCTTATTTTTATTGATACTCTTTGAATGATAAAAAGTTTAATGCAAATTAATTAATTTTTTTTTATTTTACTATGTGATAAAAATAATTAATTTTTATAATCAATTTTTCTATTAATAATTATTGAATACTATATATGAAGTTTTATAGTATTATACCAACTGTTTTTTAATAGGTTATTGCAAACATTTATATTATAGGTAGTATTATTAAAGTAGGGAAAGAAAAGCAGGGAAGAAAAATTGTATTACTGACAGATTAATTATTATATTAAAACAGTTAAGATATGTATTGTATTATTATTATTATTATATTATTATTATTATATTATTATTATCATTATTATTATCTTGATATTATTAATAAGAATTTTAAAAGTAGAAAATAATTTATATACATTTACAGAAAATATGATTGTCAAATTAGAAAATGTTACATATTATAAAAGCCTGAATTTTGACAAAAAAAAAAGAAGAAAGAAATGAAGAAAAAAGACCGAAACATATGTCGTTTCTGATTCGCTTTTAGTGTAGATGAATTGAATATTCAATGAATAAAAAAATGATGTATTTTTATATTTAAAGATATGACATAATATATAATATACGAAATGTGAAGTAATTGGTATGGAAAATATTTTATATAAGAATATAGAAAATTTGTGAATCATATTTTATGTAAGAATATGGAAAATATTTCATATAAGAATATGGAAAATTTGAGATATTTGCTATAATATAAATGACATGAATCTTTTTTATTGTATGAAAAAAATATATGTTGGTCAAATAGGAAGGTTATATTATTATAATAATATTCTAAATATAATTCTAAGAAGATTTGATGAAAAAAAAAAAAAAGAAAATGAGTGCTTTGGAGGGGAAATAAACAACACTATGAATGACACTTCCTGGTGTCTGTTTTAGTATTATGTTATTAATGAGACTTTGAACATCCCTCGAAGTTTTCACTGAGCGCAATTTTGCATTCAAAAAGTGGAATTGCTGTATCCTCATATATACATCTTTAGCTCGGGATCTCCAATGTAGAGATCCGAAACCTATCATTACCACCCAAACCCTCCTAATATAACCCCTATGTAGTTGCATGGGAGGCTCCTCCTCTCAACTCCTTCAAACTCCAGTTCAATGGTTCGGTCAAAAACAATTCAATAGTAGCAGAAGCCATCATCAAAGATAGTGATGGTACACCCATTGCATCCCAAGCTTTCAACCTTGGCACCACCAACAAACATAACAGAAGTTTTAGGTTCTCACGGGAATTATCCTCAGCCTCTAATAAGGGATACAAAATTTTCAAATCAAAGGAGACAATCTCCTAGTTATCAAAGCAGTGAGCGGTAACTAGTCGACCTTCGAATGCTTTAGAATGGCCCTCGTGAGGAAGAAGTCCTAATCCGTTAATTTTTTCTTACCCTATAAAACAGTAATAAATAAATAAACAACAAGAACAACCAAAAAAAAAAAAAAAAAAGCGAAGCCTAAATGACCAAAGTGTCCTCAATATTGGACTAACTCATCTCTTGATTGTGTACGGCTCCAGAGTCCAGCCCACAATAGCTCTGGGCTAGGTTGCTAAACATTGAAACAACTCAACTCCGTATTTTTATTTTATCGGGGTTTTTTCATTTCTTTTCGTTTTCGCACTCTTCCAGAACTCTCTCTTCATACAATCGCCTTGAACTAGGATTATCAAACACATTCTTTGAAGAAAAAACTCCCTTGATTCAGCAAAAATGGCGACTGTTATGCAGAAAATCAAAGATATCGAAGATGAGGTAATCTAATCTATATCTGTTTTCTGCCACTCTTTACTTATTTTTAATTAATTTTTTTTAGTATTTAATTTGTTATAGTTTATTGCTATTTGAAATTTATTTGGTGGTTAATTTTGTTTAAATTTTAGTTGTGCAGTTAATTGAGATGATTTTTATGCAATTTAATTTAGTTTTGTGGTATTGAATCTGTTATAATTTTATTTCAATTTGAAGTTTATTTGGTGGTTAACTTTGCTCAAATAATAGTTGTGGACAAAGTTAATTGAGATGAGTTATGTTTGTTATAATTAGATTTCTGTATTATTCTTAAAGCAATGGTGTATTTGATATTTGGATTCGTCGGAGTGACAATATATTTATTTCATGCAGATGGCAAGGACCCAGAAGAATAAAGCTACTGCCAATCATCTTGGATTGTTGAAGGTAATTATTGCTTAGTAATTAAGCTTTTTATCGAATTACGAAAGTTAATTTTTTTTTTTTGTGGCATTGACATTATAGGGATGGGTGTACATAGTTGTATTAATTTTGATTTGAGAGGTGAACAAATAAGCTTCTCATAGCTATAAGTATGTACTTAAAAAGAGCAAAGATATTGAGAATAGGTGAGCTAAAGAGTAAGTAGGAAAAATATTTTGTTTCGGCTATTGCATCAAAGATTGCTCTAAGAATATCTTATTTAAAAAATCTTTATAAATACATAATTAGAGATATTATGGTCAAATTGTGCGTTGATAACATGCACAATCATAATAAGATAATAAACAAAGGGAGCTGTTATTAATGTGTATTTGCCAAATATTTTCTTCTTTTTTTTTTTTTTTTTTTTTGGGGTTTTAAGATAATTTTTCTTGGATACAAAATTATAGATATTTGGCGATAACCAAATAGAATTGAGGAGTTGTGGTCCATTCTTAATTTTTAATGATATGATCTTATGTGACATGATTATTACAAGAATTAAGTGTTTAGCACCTAAAATAAGGGGAAGGGAACAAAGTCTAAGGCTTAGTTTGATTATAATCAACAGGGAATATTATCTATAGCTAATTGTAATCATTATTATTTGTTTAGTACCTAAAATAAGGGGAAGGGAACAAAGTCTAAGGCTTAGTTTGATTGTGATCAACGGGGAATGTTATCTATAGCTAATTGTAATCATTATTATTAATGTTTAAGAAGCTTATGTATATGAGGTCATTTTAATTCCTAAAAACTAGTTATGATAAGTAAAAATCTTTTTTAATTAATTCTAATCAATAACATTTAGTATGAATCGGTGAAAATCAATATTGTATACAACAATATATTTATTTCTTTCATTTCTAAAAGCTCTTAACATTTACTTTTTGTATACAAATTACGATAATTGTAGAGAGTGTTGATGTGGTGATTGGGTGTATGAAAATGGTAAATACAATAAGATTGTAAAAAGGTAGTCAGGTGTAAAACCATTTGGAAAAAGTAAGAGGGAGTGAGTGAAAATGTGTAAGTATTGTGGGTAAGAGGGGTAAGTTGGATAAAGGATTTTGCCAAAAATGAAATAAGTAAAGGTGTTTAGAAGAAAAACAGAAAAATGTATGAACTTTAACAAAGAAGGTAGTATTTGTTAATCACTTAACACCAATTTTAATCACTAATATATCTAACACTTTTTTACTCAAGTTACTCAACACTATTACTAAATACTAAATACTAAATACTAAATACTAACTCTACTTTAACTTTTGTGATTTAACTATGACGAAACATAGACATATAAGATCTTGTTAAATTTGTGTAAATGTATGTTTTCATAATACCAAAATAATTAGAGACATTCACATTAGTTATTAGTTTAATCAATAAAATCTTTTCATTTTAGTTGAATTCAGGTGAAGAGTACAAAGCCTTAGTGGTAGATTGTCAAACAAACAATTTTGTTTTTATGTCAAGATGAGGTGCACTAGCCCCCCCCCCCCCCCCCCCTATTTCCTTCACTCAAAATGGCAAAATATTACTTTCATTTCTTGTTCGCCTTCAAACACACTTCTATTTTTTTTTTTTAATTAATTTATTTATTTATTTATTTCATTCCTTCCACCTTATAATGAAAGTCCTCGAGCTTTCCCTCTCTTATATCATTAACTCCTCTCACGTAACTTTTAGAAATTTGCATTTTCTTACAATCCCTTTGATACCTTTGCAAAATTTTAACAATTCCTAAAGTAAAATGCTACTTGAAAGTACTATATTTTTCCTTGCTTAAACTTTTGTCCCTAAATAAGTCTTATTTTACCTTTATATATATATATATATTTTTTATATATATATATATATATATATTATATATATATATATATATATATATATATATATATATATATATATTATATATATATAGAAATGGGATCATGTGAGAACCCATGGCTTAGGTGAGAACCATTTAAGGGTGAAAACCCATCTTACACCATCCATTTTTATGTTATGGATGGTTGAGATTAAATCTTGGTGTTATGACTTGTGCAAGTGGGCCTCCTTTTTTTTTGTATTGGGACACACAATCTGTCAAAGCCTGTCATTATTGCATGCTTTTTTTTATTTCTTGCATTGAAACACGCTAATTTGCATTGGAAAACCAAGAGATTTAACTAGCTAATTTATTCCATTCATAATTTTCTCCTCTTTCTGATATATATATATATATGAACTATCTCCCCTTTCTCATTGACGCCATTATCACTCTCATCCAGCATATTTCAAGCTTGGTTGGTTCAATCATCCGTTTTTTTTTTGGTAAAGGTAGTATAAGATTTTTATTTCAATTGATTAGGACAATTAATTTTTGTTTTTTAAGAAAAAAAAAAATGCATATTCATGTAATAAATCTGCATATTTTGTTTACAAAATTTGCATATTTGATTTTTAATTACTTATTTTATTGTATTAAAGGAATAATTTTGAGATGTTTCAAAAGATGTTATTATTGTTTCAAAAAGACTTGTCGTTGTTTCAATTAAAAAATGTAATGTTACATTGAATTGTGTTGTCAACGTTACGTTAAAATGTAGTTGAAGTGTACGTTAATGATGTTTCATAAAATATATTAAGTGTTTCAATTTATAATATTAATGTTTCATATATATTATTGCTTGTTTCATATAGTTGGGCTTTATATGAACTAGGTTTACTGTGATTTCTTATACCTTATTGATGTTTCAAAAAACATACCTTATGTTTCATTTTATACTACTTATGTTCCATAAAATATATGTATTGTTTCATATACTAATGATATTGTTTTATACATAAAAATCATTGATGTTTCATATAATATTTCATTCGAATATTATTTATATTGTTCCAGAACTATGAACTATTGTCCCATAAATTATACATTGTGCATACATAAGAATTAATATGGTGAGACATATCATGTAATTGGAACTATGAGCATATCATGTAATTGGAACACTAGTTCTTATAAATGAAATAATATATAATATTTATGGGACAATAGTTCACATTTCTTGAACAATATAGTTATTATTTGACAATAATGGGCATATCATCCAATTGAAACACTAGTTCATGTCTATGGAACAATAGACCATATGTGTGGTACAATAGTTTAAATTTCTGGAACAACATAATTAAAATTCGAGAACTATGGACATATCATGTAATTGGAATACTAATTCTTATGTATGGAACAATATATAATATTTATGGGACAATAGTTCATATTTCTGGAACAATGTAAATACTATTTGACAATAATGAGCATATCATCCAATTGGAACACTAGTTCATGGCTATGGAACAATAGACCATATGTGTGGTACATCATTTCAAATTTATGGAACAACATAATTAAAATTTGAGAACTATAGCATATCATATAATTGGAACACTAATTCTTATGTATGAACAATGTATAATATTTATGGGACAATAATTCATATTTCTGGAACAATATAAATAATATTCGAATGAAATATTATACTTTCTCTGTTATTTTTTATATTGCATCATAGGGGTTTTGGAGGCAAAATTTGGTAGTGGGAAAAAGTAAGAGAGAGAAACGTAAAAATACAAAATTGTCCATGTAATGTAAAGATAAAATAAAAAGTAAGTGTGAAAAAGTAAGGGTATGTTGGGTATTTGCAGTGTGAACATAGATATGTTTTGTCCTAAAATGGAAGTGATGCAATATTTGTGAAACTTCCCTAAAAGGCAAGTGATGCGATATTAAAAGAACGGAGGAAGTATGAAACATCAATAATTTTTATGTATAAAACAATATCATTAGTATATGAAACAATACATATATTTTATGGAACATAAGTAGTATTAAATGAAACATAAGGTATGTTTTTTGAAACATCAATAAAGTTTTATACATATAGAGCCCAACTATACGAAACAAGCAATAATATATATGAAACATTAATATTATAAATTGAAACACTTAATATATTTTATGAAACATCATTAACGTACACCAACTACATTTTAACATAACGTTGACAACACAATTCAATGTAACATTACATTTTTTAATTGAAACATCGACAAGTCTTTTTGAAACAATAATAACATCTTTTGAAACATCTAAAAATTATTTCTTTAATACAATAAAATAATTAATTAAAAATCAAATATGCAAATTTTGTAAACAAAATACGCAGATTTATTACATGAATGTGCATTTTTTTTCTTAAAAAACAAAAATTAATTGTCCTAATCAATTGAAATAAAAATCTTATACTACCTTTACCCTAAAAAAAAACGAAATTAACAAAATGATAAAAGGATGTTTGCCACCATTAATGACATTGTGAATGAGCTTTTCCCAACCAAAAGACCATAAACATTTGACGCAATTGAAGAAGGAAGACCATTACTCAGGATGATTATTGATAATTCTTCTTCGTTTTCGTCCTTCTAAAATCAATATTCTTGAGGTAGGTTAGACATGGTTGCTTTTTTTGATAGGTAGACATGGTTGATTCAATGGCAGAAAGAATTCAGTAATGGAGGAAAGAGAAATTGGAAGATGGGAGAATTTCTAGAAAGAATAGAAAGTGGTGGGTCATAAGATTTTCTCTCTTTTCAATTTCTGGAATGCGTGCAAAATGGGGCTGATTAATTACACTTTCTATGCAAAATGTGTACTGTCAGATCTAATTAAATGGATGGCATGAGATTGGTTCTCATTTTAACCAGGTTCTCATATAAGCCTTGGTTCTCACATGATCCCTCCCCTATATATATATATATGCTCACTTTTAATCAAATAATGATTACCTTTAATCGACCTAATTCACTATTTCTTTTCTTATTGACCTTCATTTAAACATCTGCAAAATGCAAATGAGTAATCTATTTGAAACTGAAGGAATAGCATTATTGAAACCAATTTTTACTTCAAAACCTTGATCCTAAAGAAGTAAAACCCCCAATTAAAGAAGGCCTTTTTATTGGCTAATTGATGTATCAATCAAAGCCTTAATCCCATAAGTGGGGTCGGCTACATGAACCAAAAGTGATTATTCCGTATAGGTATAGTCATCCACAAAAATTGATGAGTTTAGTTATGATCTAATTGTGATGGGAGCCATTTAGCATAAAATGATGAGTTTAATTATGATCTAAATTTTAAATATTCCATAAGTCTGTATTATAATGTATTATATAGAAAACGCCTTGTTAATTTGAAAGAATATAGCTTTGATTTTATGATGGCTTATGGAATTTGTCCAGAAAATTTGTGAATAGCAATGTTACTGGGGTCTGAAGCCAAAATACACTCACATTAATCACACTACTGTGTATAGTTTATTTACCATATTCTCCGTTGCTAGTATGAAATCATATTCCCTGCATTCAGTTCCCGTTATTTATTTCTGAAGCATTCAAATCAATGAATAAATGGGATATTTGCATAATGAAGACATGAAGTTGAATTTCTTTATTTTTACTTGTATAGTACTCAGTTAAAGTTATATGGTTATCAAAGTTTCTTTTGTGTTACTGTGTCAATTTTGTTTCTTGTTCAGTATCCTTTCAAGTATGAGAATTTATTTTCTGGTTTTCTCTTACATTTTTTGCGTTGATTGTTTTGAATTGCCAGGCTAAACTTGCTAAGCTGCGGAGGGATCTTTTGACACCCACCTCGAAAGGAGGTGGTGGTGCTGGTGAAGGTTTTGACGTAACAAAAAGTGGAGATGCACGAGTTGGGTTGGTTGGCTTTCCATCGGTTGGGAAATCAACATTACTTAATAAGTTGACTGGGACTTTCTCTGAGGTATTGCGTCTTTTTCTCTGATCTCATGTTCACAAGTTGTTGGCAATAGAAGGGCTGGATTTGTTTCCTTTTGTTCTCTCTCTTATATTCACTATTATCTTCTCTTGCATTTGCATTTGCATGTACCCACACCTATTCCCGACTACCATCACACATGTTTTCTAACACTAATCTTCACACTCACATAGCCACAAGTACAAAATTCAGAAGGGGGTGGAGTGTGGAGGGGATGAGCTAGCAAATTAAAACAGATTAATTTTATTGAGCAGTAGACTACAGTTAAGAGACTAAAGACAGAGGAAGACCTTCTTGCTACTGGAAGTTCTCCTAATCCTTATTATATGTTGAACAGGTTGCTTCTTATGAGTTTACTACATTGACTTGCATTCCTGGAGTGATAATGTACAGAGGAGCTAAGATTCAGGTATACTTCAGCTATCAATTTATTGCAATATTTTTGATATTATTCTAGGTTCAGTAGCTTTTACTTTGTAGTATCATTATATTCATTATGGTCAAAAGTTTAATGGGACATCATTTTTATTGGACAATTTATGTGTATCTGTTGTAGTTTTTTTAATACTATACCCTCGTCTTCATTGGAATGTGAGGGTAAAATGTTATTTTTTGGGGATGTGTTTGGTTTCCTCGAATATAATATATTGAGGTCTCATTTTGCATGATTTTGCTGGTGTCTCAACTTTGAAAGGTCTGACTTTTGAATAAAAGTTTTAAGCTTCTAATGATGCTATGTATGAGGCTATAAAGATCAGTAATAATAGTATGCCCAAGGCTCATGGAATTAAAGAATTGGGAGTCTAAGGGAAGCCACCTTTTTGGAAGGGATCCAACTTGAACATGTTTTGATTGCTTTAGCCCTACATCTAGAGATAATTATTGCATCTAAAACTTTCACTCTGTCACTGAGACTCAGTTAGAAGGATGTCTCAAGTGTCAACTCGATGATCTTAACTATAATTTATAAGATCTTCTCCCAAATTTATCAGTGTCTTATCAATGTCCAATCGAGTATCCAACATGGGTATTTGAGATAATTTGAAGACTCATAGTAGCACAGCTTCCACTCTTATTGTCAATTTGTCATAGGTACTGATGTAAGAAAACTGTAATTGCAGGTCCTTGAGAATCTTTTTATTTTCTGACACAAACTTGTGTAGAATAGGTTTTTTTTTTTTTTTTTTTTTTTTTTTTTTTTTTTTTTGGGGGGGGGGGGGGGGGAAGAGTATAACAGTCTAATACTTAGAAATAAATTTAAGTCTCAGTAACTTGCCTAGCGTATTTTGACCCAAGTTGAGCATTCTTCAATGCGTGTGTACTGTGTAGTGATCATCCAGTTGCCTTTGTTTGTTCTATATGTTGGGGTATCTTAATTCAAGCTATGTTAACCAGGGATTTTTTGTGACTTGAACCTAGAAATCAAGACAAGAGAATAGGCGGCTCATATATGAGGATGTGGTCTGATTTTATTAGATTTATCCTTGTTGATATTTAGCTTCATAGCTTGTTTTATCCTCAATTTTGCCTTGATAGTGGAGTTGGATGGTGCATGGTCCTTGTATTATCAATGAAGTGTTTGGTATATCGTCTGTAGTACCATTTAATTTATGCCCCGCTTGTAACCTTAACAACCTGTCCATTTTAGAGCTGTGCTGTGATGCTCTTACACTTGCTATTAGTGATGGGACATCTCACTTTGTTAATTTGTTTGGCAGCTGTTGGACCTACCAGGTATCATTGAGGGTGCCAAGGATGGAAAAGGTAGAGGAAGGCAGGTAATAATTTCTGGCTTGCTATTCATGTCTTTATTTGGTTGCTTATGTTGTATATATGAGTTCGCTGGAAGTTAATCACTGTTTATAGACCAATTTATTTTTCTTCCTAGCAAGCAAGGTAGATCGAGGAGGGAATTAGGATCAGATGAATACTACCAGATCATAAGATCGTAAGACCTTACTATATAATACTCCGTAGCATATAATATGGATAATATTGCATACTTTGTATATGCCATACAAAACCACCTATTCTAAGTAATCCTAATACTTTGTATTAAATAGCCAAAAATATAAATATTGCTGCCATGCAATACAAAACTACATATGTTAAATTATCTTAATATTTAAAGGCATTGTTTTGCTCATATAAAGCCGATATTAAAGTATTTTCAATGGTACAAGTTATTAAGAACCATCACAATGATTAGATTTTTTGTTGTGTCGCTTCATCTAAGGCGACATTCCACGCATAACTCGCATTTAATTAATTAGTAAAAACTATAACCAACTTAAAGTTGTTATAAAATTATATGAATTTCTTTAATGTTTTCAATTTTCAAGCAACAATAGTTGATATAATTTTACTGATTGTTGAATTAAATAGTAATAAAAAATTATGTATGATATTGTTTATTCTTATTTATCATTGTATGTTGGATTTGATTGGTGGATCATAAGATTGTGGAATTGTATTGAGATCCTACCACTCTTAACCTTTTTTTTTACCCAAATATTTAAACGTTAAGAGATTTAAATCAGTGACATCAGGATTATAATGATCGGGTAGCAAGTCATTTGTAGAGATGAACCATGGTTCTATCATTCAAAATTGTTGATCACAATGAATGCTGTTTTTAATAGAGTGAATCAGCTGATTTCATGCTTGGACAGTTTCTGGTCAAATGTTCCGTGAACTTAGCTAGAACTGTCTGAATGGAACTCCCAAATCCTGGGAGATTTGAAAAAATTTGCATGCCTTCAACTTCATTCTGTGTTTCCCAAGGTTCCCAACCCATTTTGTATAATTTATCTTAAAAACAGTATGAAGAATCTGTGTAAGATAACCTAGATAATGGAAGAATCATTTATTTGTAGAAACTCTGCTCATTTGAACTGATGTTGTGAGTTCAAAATTTTAAATTCCGCTGTTGCTGTTCAACTGTTTAGTGTTTACTTATTTTCAGATTGTTGTTGGTATTTTTGATATATCTTGTTTTGATGTGGCTAGCCATTTTTGCGTAAATGAGTCCACTGAGTTTATGATCTTCCTGGTACAGTTAATGTGCTGTCTTGTAGGTTGTAGCGTATTAAAGCTTTAGAATTTAATGACATTTGAACTCTGTTTCATGACTTAAACCCAGTCCTGATTTTGCATTCTATGACCTCTCATATTCCACTTCTTAGCTAGGTCTAAGCAAACCAAACAAGTCACTAGGAGCCACCGTTAATTTTGTATCAGAGGACTGTTGGAGGCTGTTTTCTGAACTTCTAATCTTTAATGAAATACTTACAATCAGAAGCGCATAATCACTTCGTCCCTATTCAAGCTTTCTGTTTTTCCCTAATGGTTAGTTTAGATAGCAAAGTGTAAGGGAAAGGGAAGGGAGGGAAGAACAAGGAAAGGGGAAGAAAGGAAGGGGACGGAGAAGATAAGGTTATTTTTTTCCTCCAAATCTTTCCAACATTGGAAGGATTTGATTTATTAAAGAGGGAGAAAAAAATGAATCCTTACATTTCCCTTCCCTTCTTTCATAACAAATGGTATTCAAACAAGGAAGGATGGATCCCTTCTTTTCTCTTCTTTTCCTTTCCCTCCAATCTTCTCACTCCAAACAAAGTGTAAATGTTTGTCCCAAATAATTTTTTGGATTTTATGTGCTTCCCTTGGGGCTACTAGTTATAGAAGTTATTTCTTCCACTAAAAAATTATGGTTTCCATTTCTCTCCCATAATAATTAACATTAACTATGTTTTTCCACTCCTATGTTCTTATTAAGACTAATGAATCCTTCCATTTCCCTCCTAACAAAAGATATCCAAACAAGGAAGGATGGATCTCTTCTTTTCTATTCTCTTCCTTTCCCTTTAATTTTCTCAATCAAAACAAAGTGTAAATATTATAAACTTTCTGATTTCTCTACTTCCCTTGGGGCTAGCTATAGAAGTTCTTTCTTCCACTAAAAAATTATGGTCTCCAATTCTCTCCCATTATAAAAAATTGTACAATGCCATTAATCTACGTTTTTCCACTCTTTACATTCATATTAAGAGTAGGCATTTAGAGAAATGACTATAATCCCACAATTAACCAAATTTTATTGAACTTGAAAGAGTTAAATGCCGTGGTTTCTATTTGAGCAAGAATATTGTAAGAGCAACTCTAATGGTTGCCAATAGGTAGTTGCTTGCAAGTGTTTAAAAGATTAAGCTAGTAGCTATACTATTGGTGCATATGCTAATCTGCTTCATTACATTTTCTTAGCTTTGCAAATATCAGCAAACACAAATAATTTTTTATTTAATAAAAAATTAATAGGTTGTGGCTTACCATTGGGCGGGTAATGAGTCTAGAAGGGTTGTAGCTTTACTCTGAGAGTTGCCAAGGCATTATATACATATGATCAAGGTTAGAAATTTGCAGAAATGTATGGGACAAACCATTTTTTTAGCAGATAAGGTTGTTAGGAAGAGATCTCTATTCTTTATGGTTATTAGCCAAATAACTACTTTCACGCCATGTTACTCAATTTGGATACCCATGTATGTGTTAAAGTGTCCAACTCAGTTATTCTGAACAAAAAAATTTCATGATTTTGTCCTAAAATGAAAATGAAGTATCAATGTGCCTTACACTCTACTCATATCCGGCTTGGCTTTGAGGTGAAATGAAGAGTTCAAGTAACTTAGCTTTCACTTCCTAGTGCTTGTTTGTGACAAGAACTGACTGAGAATAACAATATTAAATAGAGTATAACAATGAAATATGGGGAAAGGTTTAAGCTTTCATTGATAATGGCCAAAAGGTTAACAAGATAACTTGAGGCTATCACTCTCTAGGGGTAACTTAAGGTTACCAATCTCTTTGCAATTGTCTTAATACTCAACATGACTACTATGCTAAACCTTCTTCTTTATATATACGAACTGCTACTTAAAAGTACTACAATATATGTCTTTACTTGCTCACCCTGTTGCACCCTCCCTAGTGTTTCATGCCTTTGTTTGCTTGTAGCTGGTCCCCACTATGATGTTGTATAATCTAAACCCTCCTTTTGTATACTTGGAGTAGTGGTTGTACATTAGAATGTGGGTTCATCACATCACATCACTTTCCCCCAAAAGAACCACCTTGTCCTCAAGGTGGAAAGATGGAAACTGCAAGTTCTGATTATCAAAGACTTCCCAATGTGCCTCAAAACTTGCAAGACCTTTCCATTTGATCAAAGAAACTCCCCCTTTCACCCTTTGCCTTGCTTCCAAAACATCCTCAGGTTCCGCAACCAATTCTAGATCAGCAGTAAACTAAGAGGGTGCACTGGTACAATCGGGTTATTGCTTTCTTCAATTGAGAGATGTAAAACACGGGGTGCACCTTGCAGCTCAATGGCTATTCCAATCAATGTGCTACTTTCCCAATGCGTTGGAGTATTTTAAATGGACCATAGAATTGTGCTGCTAGCCAATGAACATTGCCTATATGGCTGTAGTTTCGGAAAAACCTCCCCACCCACTTCAAATTATGCCTCTTTACGTTTTGGATCAGCAGACTTCCGCATTACTTGCTTTGCTTGATTTAAATTCATACACAACTCGTTCAGAATTAAATCCCTTTCTTTCAACTACTCTTCTTAGCTTCCCACCACCATTCGGTTATTCCCCAACCTCCACAACTTCAGGAGATCCCTCCCATAAAACATTGTAAACGGGATCATTTTTGTGGCCATGTGAGGTGAGGTGCTATGGGAGTACTTGGCCCACGGCAGCCATTGTGCCCAACTCTTTGGCCGAATAGCTACAAAACAACAAAGATACATTTCTAGGCCCTTGTTAACAATTTTTGTTTGCCCATCCGTTTGAAGATGATATGCGATACTCTTCTTTAGTTGAGTTCTCAAAGGTGGAAAAGTTCCTTCAAAAATTTAATCATAAATATCTTATCATGGTCAGATACAATTGAAGTCGGAATTCCATGTAACTTTGACTACATACCTCCGAAAGTAATCAGCCACCTTAAGTGCATTAAAGAGATGCTTAAAGCCGATTTAGGGTCTCTATTTAGATAGCTTATCCACCATAACAAGACTCAAATCCACCCCTTTCAATACGGGCAATCCCTCCACATAATCCATGGAGATGTCTTCCAAAATAACCCGTGGGATCGGTAATGGTTAGAGAAACCCAAGAGGTTTTTGTTGACACTTTGTTACGTTGACAGACATCATAAAGTTGCACATATTCCCCAATTTTCTTGTGCATACCGAGCCAAAACTAATTCGTAGCCATTTGAAGATAAGTTTTCACCTCCCCCTCGTGAGTCGTAACCACCCATCGAGGAGTCATGATATTGCTTTAGAAGCTTGGGAATGAACTGTGATTTTGGTGGTAGCACTATCCTTCCCTAAAAACCATTCGGCTCCCCTTTCTCCTCCTTTAATTGCTTTTCTACCTCCTCATCCACTTGTCCTCCTTGATTTCCCTATCCAACTAAGCCAATCTACAACTGTGGTACAAACCATAGACCCGTATTGCACTTCTAGCCCACCATTTTGTGACAGAGGATCAACCACTCAGTTTGAGGTCCTAGGTTTATATTGGATTTGAAATCTAAACCCATCAATTTATGCATCCATTTGTGATACTCTTCACCCAGTTTGTGTTGGTGTGTCAAATAACGAAGACTTTGTTGGTAAGTCCATATAATGAAGTGCCGGTGATAAGATAATGTTTCCGTTTCATCACTACCAAACTTATGGCCATTAACTCTTTCTCATACACTGATTTAGCCTGGATTTTTACCCCCAACAACTTGCTGAAATAGGCCGGGACGACCTTGCTTCATCATTATGGCACCCAGCCCATAGCCCGAAACGTCTGTTTCTAAGACAAATTCCCGCTTAAAATTCGGCAGACTACTATCGAGCTATTGTCATGGCCCTCTTCACCTCTATTAAGAGCCACTTTGCTCTACCGCCCCAAATTGTCCTTTTTCAATTATGAAGTTAATAGACTAGCAATTTGAGCATACTTTGCCACGAATTTGCAATAATACCCCGTGAGGCCAAGAAAACCCCGAAGCTTTTTTATAAAAGCTCCTCCTACTCCAAAATTGGTTTTTATCTAATCATTATCATTCAATGTAATTGCTTTTATCTTATATGATGTGATGAACTCACATTCGGTCGTACAACCACCACTCCAAGTATATAAAACGAAGGGGAATGCAACATCAAAGTGGGGACCAACTACAAGCAAACAAAGGCATTCAACGAAACACTTGGGAGGGTGCACCAAGGTTATGCAATACTGAGGTTGTATAATCTTCCCCCTCCTTTTGTATACTTGGAGTGGGCTGTACGGAAGAATATGGGTTCACCACAATTTAGTTAACCAAAAAAGTGGGGAAAGTTGGAATTCATGGGAATCGCAATTTTGGGTAGTTGTTTGGTTAGCACTATAAATTAGTTAAGGAGGAAGTAGAGCTTCCTAGAAATTTTTTACTTCTAACAAAACATGAAATTTGGGCACAAAACCCCCCTTGTTCATGAGACATTCATTGGAATTGGAACTTTTTTTAGTGCTAGCAAAATTGCACAAAGGAAGTAGCTTCCCATGATATGTGAATTCCCAAAGGAATTTACTATGCATGTAAACCAAAAAAGCATTCTGTATATTGGTTAGTTGCGTTGGAATTAAATTGCTATGGTAATTTACATTTCATAGGAAGTAAGTTCCTTCGTATATCTCCCATGAATTTGCTAAACTTGTTTCGTTGACATAAGGGAATTTTCATTTCGTGTGATTGTCAATGATGAGGGGAGGGGGGGGGGAGGGGTAAGTAGTAAACTTTTCGTCATATGTGGGAGCTCAAAATTCCTAGGAAGTTGTAATTCCTCCATTGCATGTGTCACCAAACAAGTGACCTAAGCATTTCCTAGGAATTACCGTTGCTTATGTCAAAAAAGTGTAACCAAAAAACACATAATTGATAGAACTACATGGAAGTATTTCTTTCTATGTTTTTACCAAAGTCACTGTGATACATCTCTAGTAACTGGCTCAATTTTATGATTTTCATGAACACTGTATCTAATTTAGTACTTTAGTAGTGGTGGTAAGACGATAAAAATAATTAATTAATTTTTATTTATGCTATAACTTAGCTACGGTAAAAAAAATAAAAAAAAATGAAAGAAAGATATATTAGAATAAGGCTATGTTTAGTTCAACTTATTTCAGAAATAATTAGATTAGATCTTATATTTAATTGCGTTTTTTTATCGTTGAATATCTTTATTTTGTATCTGGAAAGTACATATTAGTAAGAATCTAATGACATCTCATTTGATAATTTTTTAACTTACGGATTAGTGTATAAATTAGGTCAAAGTTTGGTCAAATCAAATCATATCTTGTGAACTGAACATAGTTTGAGTACTGTTATTTTGGTTCAAATTATGGGTATGTCCTTTATCTCTATAAATAGGGTGTCTGACCACCCAATAGCTGTTTGCATTCAACTTTCTCTTATTATCTTTTCCGGCCTTGCCAATGTGATCATAAAAAGTATGAATATTAAACATGAATGCCCTGTGGCAATATGCCCTTTTGTTTCCTGATGCAAAATGTAGCATTTTGTTAGTGCCCTGCGTCTGTAAGGGTTACCTAATACGCTCCTGCTTATTGTTACCCAAGATGCTAAGGCTTTTGAACAGGGGCTCACTCGGTCAGTCCTATTATTAAAAGAAGTAAAAGTAGACCAAGTGCCAAAAAAGCTGTGTCCTTTACCTCATTTTGTAGTGATAGTTGCAACTTATCCCTCTTAAGGCTAGCTCTTCTTTGTCTCCCTTTTGTGTGTGTGTGTCTGTCTCTGTCTCTGTCAGTCTGTGTTCTGCATGTTATATTTGACAAAATATGTAATATCGATTTACAGCCATATTTTATCAAAGCAGACACAAGAAGACTTAAATATACTTACTCTGTTTTTTTTAAAAAACTGTGCAACACCCCCCCCCCCTTCTCCATCCCCCATTGCAATTAAAATAGAATGGAGGAAGAACATTTTATATCTGAGTGTAAGTAAGCAATTTATGTGCTTTCCAGGTCATCAGCACTGCAAGGACGTGCAATTGCATATTAATTGTTCTTGATGCAATAAAGCCAATAACTCACAAGCGTCTTATAGAAAAGGAGCTCGAAGGCTTTGGCATTAGGTAATGTAAAATCTTCTATAGTCTATTCTTCTCATACTTTGTTGCGTATGCATTGTAATTTACTCTTAATTTTATACGGCATATGAAGATTAAGAACTCTATTTTTACCTGCTCGTAGACCTTGTCATAGTGTCTTGGTCCTATGGTTTTAAATCTACTAGGCATTTTGTGAAAAGACGTGTGTGATGTAGTGCCTCCTACCTTCACTTCACACCTCAGTAATGATAAAACCCGAAGCATTTTAGGGCGCCTCATGCTTTTTAAAGCTAATTTAATTGTCTATTGAGTTGACTGTGTCCGTTATTTTTTTTTAATCACGGTAATTGACCATTTGGTTTTCTGTATTGGCGGTACTATGTACTGTTAGATGTGTATAATTTTGCACTCTTTCCTTTTATATGTCCCTGCCTTACTCTTGTGTGCCTTTCTGGGAGCAGGTTGAACAAGGAACCCCCCAATTTAAGTTTCCGAAAGAAAGAAAAGGGTGGTATTAATTTGACCTCAACAGTTACCAACACACATTTGGATCTAGATACAGTGAAGGCAATATGCAGTGAATACAGAATTCACAATGCTGATATCACTCTTAGATTTGATGCAACTGCAGACGATCTTATTGATGTTATTGAGGGAAGTAGAGTTTATATGCCGTGCATATATGTCATAAACAAAATTGATCAGATCACTCTGGAAGAGTTGGAAATTCTGGATAAACTTCCTCATTACTGCCCAATTAGGTAGGTTACTCTTGTTATCAAACAGATTTGGTTGTCATCTGTTAGTTCTGTGTGATAACATTTCGCTTTCTTTCATGGCTTCAGAATTAATATCACCTCTTTTATTCCCGGTTTTTATTTATATGTTTATTATATTATTGATTATATTTATGATATTTTTGTCAAGAATCTATGTTTTGCAATCCCTTTATCATAAAATTTCGTTTTCTTGCATGGCTTCGTAACACGTTATTTTCTGAATTGTAGAAAGTCTGAGATGTTTTATGCTGTGGTCATACCAAGAGGGCATTAATTATTTTTGGTTCTTATTGTTGCATAAGAATCCTTATCAATGCTCCCTCCTCTCCCCCACCCCCCACCCCCCCCCCCCCATCCAAAGTCCAAAAAATCCTTTTGCATACATATATTGTCCTTTTGTGTTTTTACAATGCCAGCACAACTTCAGTTGATTCTGAAGAAGATTTACAGCCTCTTCTTCTTACTTGTTTAGTTGAAATCACTTTGCAGTGCTCATCTAGAATGGAACCTTGATGGTTTGCTGGAGAAGGTCTGGGAGTACCTGAACCTTACTCGTATTTACACAAAACCAAAGGGTTTGAATCCAGATTATAATGACCCTGTCATCCTTTCATCTCGGAAGAGAACTGTGGAAGATTTCTGTGAGCGAATTCACAAGGATATGGTCAAACAATTCAAGAAGTAAGTAATGTTGTGGATGCCTAAATTTACACTGCATTGTGGATGTTTCTATTGTCCATAGAGAAATGAAACCAATGTGCTTCATCACTTGTGAGTTTATCTTAAACCAAATAGAATGACATATTCCGTAGGAGGAGCAAGGAAAGGAATATAGCACGCCTTGCTAAGGCTGCTCAGATTTTGTCTGTTGAAGCTTGTCTTTTTACTCTAGCTTTGCATGACCCCTTCTGTGAGTAGTGTGGATGTTTCATGCACTTGTTCATTTTGAGTACTTAATTTCGGCTAAGCATAGTTTTTAAATGGTAATTATGTTTGTTTTCCCACTAACACGGATCACTTCCCCCAACTAAAATAATTTCAACGATAATCAGTCAAGTAAAAAGGCTACCAACAAGTTTCCTGTAAGTAGAGGTCATCCAATAGCTCTCCCTAATTTTAAGGCTTAGCTTTTGTTCTAAAATGCATGCAAAATTACCTTTTGACTAGAATTCTATTTCATACTTGCATTGGATTTCAAACCTCTTTGTGACCTCATCAGTCATCACTTCAATATCCAGAAAAGACTCGAGTTTTCTAAATTTCTTTGGGTTCTTAATTTTTTCTTAAGCTCATTTATCAAACCTTAGTCATTCAATACTAGCGAAAACGCTTTTTGAGTCTTTGCTTGATCTGCAATAAGGAAATACGACGTAATAAATTTTCCTTTTCTCTGGCACAGTGCTCTTGTCTGGGGATCTAGCGTGAAGCACAAGCCTCAAAGAGTTGGCAAGGTTAGTCCTGGGATTCTATGCTCTTTTTCTTTCCACTCTTGATGAAAATGATTATTTATTCTTCTGATCATGCATTTTTTGGTGCTCTCATGTCAGGAACATGAACTCGAGGATGAAGACGTGGTTCAAATCATCAAAAAGATCTAACTGAGCCTGGCATTCATAATTTTAAACAATTGACGACCAGCATAATTTCGAAGAAAATTTTTGTTAGAGAAATATTGTGGCAAAAGGTACAGAGGTCATGTTATCGATGTGTACTTCAGCTCTTTTCTGTGATGGAGGGATTTGGCTAGCTTGTACGTTGTGTTTTCTGCATACAAAGCAGAGCATGTTAGAAGGAGTTTTTTTTTTTTTTTTTTTTTTCCTGACAAAGGAGACGTGAAAAAAAAATAAAACAAACAAACAAAACTAAAACCGAAAGCAAAGTAAAGAACGTCTACGCTCAGACCCTGCTAGTTGATGCGCCATAGTGATTGCAGAACGAGACTCGACAGAATCTCCTGAAGGTCTTGTCTAATCCATAAAATAGAAATATCAACCGAGCGATGACCAGAGAACATAACTGGGATAGTACCGCAATCAGTGACAATCCAAAGGCGCCGAACCCCCCACCTGAGAACATGGTGCAGTCCGAACAAAAAGGCCAACAATTCCGAATGTAGAGCAGAAGAGGCAACACAAGCCTGAGCCCCCCCTCCCAAAATTTGAGAAGTATGCATATTAGCAAAAAACCATCCGGTACCAGCTCTGAGATCCCCCGGATCCCAAGCATCATCGAAAGCCAAACAAATTTCATAGTTTACCTCCTGTCATATATGAAGATGTCAGAACATGGAGGATAAGGACAAAGAAAGGAACCAAGAAAAGCCCTCGCCTCCCCACTCCGTTTGGCCCATCCATCAGCAATGGAAAACACTGTTTGAGGAGAATACATCGCACATCTAAACCTCAAACTATTCCTAGTAATCCATATGGCCCAAAGGAGACTAAACACACGATCCAGAGTAGACCATTCAGAAGCCACTGACACTCTGGAAATCAAATCAGCAAACAACTGCTCAAAGGTAACATCAGATAGGGAGAGCATCGGGAACTCCCTCAAGAGGTTATAGATTGAACAAAGGAACAATCCCGGAATAAATGAGCAGGTGTGTCAGGAGCCTGATGACAGAAACCACACCTGGGGTCAATCGGAATGCCCTTTGTCCGAAGTAACTCGGCCGTAGGAAGAGCCTGGTGCATGATTTTCCTACCAAAAATCTTCCATTTAGGCAAGAGAGGATATCCCCAGAACTTCTTCCACCACTGAGAAGGAACCAATGAAAGGGAAAGAGTAGAGATATTCTCCTAGGAGGGATAGGCCGATCTCGTAGAGAAAGATCCATCCTGAGTAAACTTCCAATTATGTTGGTAGCAGATGTCATAGGGGTACGACATATGCTATTAGAGTTCATAGAAAATATGATTTTTACAATCGTTACCTAGTGTTCCTGGAATCCCTGGATTTTGTATGGAGTGAAATGTTTTATTGTACTGTAATTTTAGAGATTGCAGAGTTTCTTGTATTGTCAATCCGTACCCCAGGTATAGATTGAGGATTGAGAATTTGAGAGCCGTGAATAAACTTTAAACTTATGACCTACTTAGAATGAACATGAAACTGTGATTGTTGCTATATTTGAAACCAATACATAATTGTAAATAAAATTCTAAACGGAGAGAACCAAGCTCTTGGAGTTTGTTTAAGAACCAATATGTGGACTTTTCAAGCTTACAAAAATTACAAGGAAAACCTGGAGACTGTTTTACATGTACCTTTGTAGAAATGTATTTTTGAATGAATATTCCGTTCAGAAGTAATATTTATTGTTAGTACCAATGCATGAACACAAAACTAGAGGTTTCAAACTAATCAATACATGCCTGCTAATGGTGGCCAAATACAAGTCTAGCCTTAATTTGCACCATGATACCATCAGAATTATACTTCACTCTTATATATCTCCTTGTAACCAAACCAGTTACAATCATAGTTACGACTTACGAGGTTTAAAGTCTCATATAATTTATCTTTTTAAGCCTTACATTCTTTGACCAGGGCTTGACATTGACGAAGATGCTTAGATGCCTTCTTATACTTTCAAGAGCTTGTAGTGTTCAAATTAATCAATACTAGATGAAGCTCGTGCGATGTACCGTTTATTTGTATTTTTTAAAATAAAATATTTTACTAAATACATATTTGTCTGATAAATTTTGTGATATTCGCTTAATATTACTTGAATTTTATTTTATTTCACAATCTAAAATTCTTAATCTAAAAAGATAATATTTTATTTCACAAAGTTTCATGTGTGGCTGGCCACACCTTGTGGTCGGGATTACTTGGTCAGGGGTTACTCGGTTGGTCAAGGGTTACTCAATCGATCAAGGGTTACTCGAACAAACAGGGTTTATTCGTTCAGTGTTTTTGGTGTATCTCAGCTGGCCACACGATATGGTCAACCACACAAACACGCTATTTTTGTAATTAATATAAAATTTTAGATCGAAAATAAATTGCAATTTTTTTTTTCATTGGCAAAATATAATTTTTTTTTAATGTGTCGCTCTGAAATATCTTGAAAAAACTCTCCTTTATGTAATTTTTGTAGCAATTTATCATAATCTTGGTTCCATTAATCACCCAAATAAATCATTTAATATTATTCATGATAATTATTCAAAACAGTAATCTTACTTGTCGCTCTGATATATTTTTTTTTTTTTAATGTATTCCAACATAGCACTTTAAAAAAAAACTAATCTTATGTGACATAATTCTATTGTAGCGTTTGAAATATATTAATTATTATACGTGGCGATTTTTTTTATTATAATCCTATATTGATTTGGGTATTTTTAACCCACCACGTGGACCAACCAGGCCGTGACACGTCTCACCCAAAGTGGACAACTAGGGCTAGACACGTGGGAGGCAGATACCCCATATGGAATTGGCGGCCTTCAAGGCCCAATTCCCTAGACTGCCCAAAAACGGCGTAGCCCACTAGTCCTAGGTTTCCGTAACCTAAGACAGGGGCACAAATCCCAATGACCCTATAAATAGGGAGATTTACCCCACTTTGGGGACACATTCAATATTGAAAACACTGAATTCACTCACCTTAGAGAAAACACCTGATCTCGGAATCTAAGAAGATCTCACTTTACTTTTCGCACCTTTTTACATTCTTCGATCAGTTCTAACTTGATCGTCGGAGGCAGAACTCCACCCAACCGGAGTCTCCGTTGTTTTACAGGTACAGGCTCCCAAAATCCAGACTTAGTGACGTAACTCTCCCGAGGGACACAAAAACCCCGAAACATTTGGCGCCGTCTGTGGGGAGAGTACCTCTAAGATGGATTCACAACAGTCTGTACCGCCTCCTAATGAGTAACGCCCTATGGCCGAAGCTGAGGTCTCTTCGGACCATGACAGTGATGACGACTTTAAAGTCAAAACCTATGTGGCCACTGATGGGTTACTCAGAACCAGACTCACCCGTCCCAAGGAAAGAAGGGAACGGGGCGATGATCAAGCTGGTCTAAGTAAATCATCCGGAGTGCCGTCTGAACAACACCAGGCGGTGGAAGGCACAACCTCAGTCACTCGAGACGAACTCATGAAATTCATGACAAGTTTCAAGGGGGATATATAGGACTTGATCAACAAGAGGACAACTGGCTCCAACAAAGGTCAGTCGGCCAAGAAGCCTTCTCTCTCTGAGAAGAACAAGCCAGTTAGGGACCGAGAGCCCACTCCGCATGCTAAATCAAAGGAAGGGAAGCGGCCCTTGATTGATCTTTCCAAGACCCGATTCCCTAAGACAAGGAAGAGGAAGGCCATCCGGTATGTTCAGCCAAATGGCTCAAAGAAGACATACTCTGATGCCCGGTTCCTAATCGAGCAGAGGAGAAACCAGCAACTGTCTGAGTCGACTTCAACGTCGAGTTACCCAGACAACTTCCAGAATACCTCAATGAGGTATTCTTAATCTTTACGAGTGAGTCAGTCAGGCGGCCCGTCCATTTACACTGGCCCTTAGATGATCCATTCGGCCCCGTATGTGCCTCAGCAGCCATACATGCCGTATGGACAACCTTACATGAAACCCGCCCTCTTTGGGGGTTAGGCGGCACAAAACGTCTAACCTTTGGACTGGCAGCTCTGTCTGCTAAAACTTAGGGAACAACCTTTTGCGTTCTCCAAGGAAATAACCGAGGCGGCACAGCTGGCCAAGGTTAAGAATGTCATGGTGGGTACTTATGATGGTACCACCAACCCTAAAGACCACCTAATGGCCTACACCTACCTCATGTACTTGCAGGGGTTGGATGACGCTTCCCGGCTACATTGAAGGGCATCGCCTAAAAATGGTTCGACAACTTGCCAGCTGACTGCATCAATAGCTTCAAGACGCTTGCGTTCTTGTTTGCTTCTAACTTCTCTATGAATATCCTTGCCAAGAAAACAAGTCTTGACTTGGGTGCAGTGCAGTAGGGGGATAGAGAAGGGTTGCGGTCATACGTCAGACGGTTCAATCTGCTGAGATCCAGATTCAAGGGCTGTCTGATGATGTGGCTTATACAGACTTTTTCAAGGGTCTGAAGGACGGGTCGACTTTTAAGTTCGATCTCGTCAGAAAGAGGGTTTCCACACTCCAGAAAGCGCTGATGGAGGCAGAAGCTTATATACAGGCGACCGAGCTCTGCTCCATCAGCAAGCAGTCAGACTCCAAGAAGTCTGACAAAAAAGAGAGTCGGCAAGCTCATACGACAAAGAAAGCTGAAGAGAGTAAGAAGAGAAAAGAGATATGGGCGGTTGACGACTCTGATCAGTCGTCCTAGAAGAAAATGAAAGAGTGTAAACCGATACGTCCCAAAGTACGATTTTAACAAAGACTACTACTCCATCCTCATGGAGATAAAGGACCGGGTGACCATAGAGAAGCCCGCTGCTATGAAAGGTTCCGCCAAACTTTGGAACAAAAACAAGTACTGCCACTTCCATGAGGATATTGGCCATGACACCAATGACTGCTATAGTCTCAAGAGGCTGTAGGATCGTCTGGCTGATAAGGGGGTGTTGAAGTCTTACATCCTGAAGTCTAAGGTGATCCTGAAGACAAACCCCGGGCAGTCGTCCAAAAAGGATGTCCAACCTACTAGTAGTTCGGACACTAACAAAGAGCCAATCTACACAATAGCAGGCGGCTTTGCTGGAGGGAGCCCAACCATTAGTGGCACCAAGGACCATGTCAGACGGTTGGATGTCAGTTCAGTTGATGAGGGCCAGGCGTCTACTAACACCTTCCCGGAGGTCATCATCACTGAAAAGGACAAAGGCAAGGTCCGCCGACCGCATGATGACCCCATTGTCATTGAGTGCAAAGTGGCCAACCAGAAGGTCGGAGGGATCCTCATTGACACCGGAAGCTCGTCTGACATCATCAGCTATAGGTGCTTGTCGAAGTTGAAATACAAGCCCGGCAGCATGCACAAGGTTTCTCACCCCTTGGTTGGTTTTGGGGGTGGAGTTGTGCACCCAGTAGGACGGATTGACCTACCCATTTGGCTGGGGGAGAAAGGAGAGGGACGCCACATGGTAGTCCGGTTCTTGGTCGTAGAGGAGCTGACTGCCTATAATCTGATATTGGGCTGTCCGACTCTGAATGAATCCAAGGCCGCCATTATTCCATCCCTCATGCTATTGAAATTTGAGAAGGCTGATGAGTCTGTTGGCTCCCAGAACGGGGATCAAAAGACGGCTAGAGAGTGCTACCTCTCAGACGTCAAGCCCACAGTGGCCTCAGTCGGCCAGGGTAAGGAGCCAATAGAACTTGACGATGTCAAGGAAGCTGAGCTTGCTCCACCAGTAGTCGGGAAAAAGAGAAAGGTCGTAAAGAAGAAAAGGCAATAGCAATCACTGACCAGGGAACGATCGGATGAACTTCGTCCCCAGCCGGCTGGTGAACACATTGATATTTCTCTAGAAGACACACATCTGGAGCGTATTGTTTAGGTGGGGACAGTTGCTTTTGCAAAGTTGGGTGTAGACTTGCACAATTTTCTGAAGGAATCTATAGACATCTTTGCCTTTGAAGTGGAAGAGATGCCAGACATCAGCCCAGATCTAGCTGTCCAAAGCTTGCCGTGGATCCCAAAAAGAAGCCGGTTAGGCAAAAGAAAAGAAACTACGGTGAGGAGAGAAGTCAGGCGGCAGCCGCCGAAGTGAAAAAGGTGTTAGATGCTGGGTTCATTCGGCAGTGTCACTTCTCAGATTGGGTTGCGAATGTTGTGTTTGTAAGGAAGCCGAATGGTACTTGGCGCATGTGTGTTGATTACACTTAATTGAACAAGGAATGTCCGAAGGATAGTTATCCACTTCCAAAGATCGACAGTCTGGTCGAATATACAGCCGGACATGCTTTGATGAGCTTTATGGACGCCTATTCAGGCTTTCACCAGATACCCTTGTGGAAAAAAGATCAAGAGAAGACGACATTCATCACTGATCAGGAGTTATTCTGGTATACTATGATGCCGTTTGGTTTGAAAAATGCGCCTGCTACTTTCCAAATGAATGATTAATACAGTCTTCATTAATAAAATTGGGAGGAATGTAGAGGCGTA